AGGACCAGAAACAAGAACCTTAGAATAGAATAGAGCTGGAACTGACCTTGGGAGACTTCTAGTCCTGCTCAAGCAGGAGAACTTAGACTATCTCAGACAAGTCCAGTCTCTTCTTAAAAACCTCCAGTGATGGAGCATCCATGATTTCTGGTGGCCAGCTGTTCCACTGGTTACTTGTCCCCACTATTAGGAAGTTTCTCCTTAATTCCAGATTGCTTCTCTCTTTCATTAGTTTCCATCTGTTGCTTCTTGTCTTGTCTTCTGGTGCTTTGTAGAATAATTTGACCCCCTCTTCTTTGTGGCACCCCTCAAATACTAGAATACTGCTATCATGTCCCCCCCAATTCTTCTTTTCTCTAGACTGGCCAAACCCAAATCCTGCAGCCGTTCTTCATGTTTTAGTCTCCAGGACTTTGATCATCTTAGTTGCTCTTCTCTGAACTTTTTCCAAGGTCTCAACATCTTTTTCGTAGTATGGTGACCAAAATTGGTTGCAGTATTCCAGTGGTGGTCTTACTAGGGTTTTATAAATCATATGATCTTAATTCTATGCCTCTGTTTATACAATCCAGGATTGTATTAGCTTTTCGGGCTGCTGCTGCGCATGGCTGGCTCATATTTAAGTGATTGTCCACTAGGACTCCAAAGTCCCTCTCACAGTTACTGTTTTTGAGCCAGGTCTCACTTAATCTGTACTTATATCTTTGATTTTTCCTACCTAAATGTAAAACTTTGCATTTCTCCACATTACAATTTGTTTGGTTGGATAGTAAGATAACAACTTCAAGCAAGGAAAAGGAAGTAGAGGTCAGCTGAACATCAGCAAACATACCTTAATGTGAAGAGCCGTTCACTAGTGCAACAGATACTAATAAAGGGGTCTAGGGGTATCTTTAAAAAGAGGCTGGATGACCATCTGGCCATTTGCACTGGGCGTGATTTTGGACTCTAGGTCTAAGACCCCTCCCCATTCTTACATTCACATTCAGATCAAAATAGCATCCACAAATGGGGGTCAGAATATTAGATGGTAGCTGTGACTGGTTGAAGGTTTGCTCTCCTTTTTTACATGCCTCAGATATGGATGCCTTTGTCCTGATCTCTTCCTCCTTTTGAGTTCTCTCTCGTAAGGGGTATATGAAAAAAACCAAAGCTTCAAGCAAGCAGATTTATGTTGTTTTCATGAGAAGAGCACAGTTTTAACTTAAGCAGATAGAATATGTATTTCTCCAAAATGTGAAATTAGTAATGGCTGGACATAGGATAGTGAGAGCACATAATAAAATTGGAAATTATATTCCTGCATTTCTTCGTAGTGATTTCCACCATGGAGTTTTCCTTTAATTACAATAGCAAGGCAGAGAGTCAGTATACACCTTCTGAGGCTGGATTAACATACAGAAGAGTTTTCAGGGCATTTTAAAAAATACATAGAACTGTTCAGAATATTGCTAGAAAGAGCATATATGAACTTTAATGTTTTAATAATGAGCTGAAAATATTAATTACAAAAATGATAGTTCAGTGTTTACCGCCAATAAAATAATTGTTAATGAACATTGTTTAACAACTATTTAGAAAAAGAGCCGTGGTGAACTCAGATTGTTGGGTGCAAGATGCTGACCTTGTAAACTACTTAGAAAGGGCTGTAAAGCACTATGAAGCTGTATATAAGTCTAAGTGCTATTGCTATTGCTAAAAATGCTAACAACGTTTTTTTAAATTAATATTAGTAAAGTTCAAGTGAAACTTTTAATTATGCATTGAGATACCAGTGGGAAAGCAGGTAAAAATGTGCTTGATGCCAAGCACTTATTAACTGCACTTTCCACCAATGCAGCATTAGTGTGATAGGGTATCTCAAAGTGTCATTGAGGTGATAGCTATAGGCAGGTTTCCTGCAAATTCAGTGATAATCCAAATTGTAATTTCAGCTTTAGTTGTTGTGTTTTTTTTTTGTTAATGCTAGTAGTTTTTGAAGATGTTAAACTTGTTGGCTTATATTTACCACAGATAGCATGAATTCCATCTCCAATTAAGTTGTAATGCAATCTGTAACTGTAAGAAAGAAACCTAAGATCCTGTAATTTTTTGCCTCTTCTTGAAACTTACTTAGATGATGTTAAAGAATATTACAAGCTCTCGTCTGTGTACAGATCACAGCAATCTATATGAATGGTTTGAACACTCTGAATTCTGTGTTAATGTTAGCTATTCTATGCTGTCAAATGCCTGTACAAAAACAATATTGCCATTTTTTCTAAGTATAGAAATTGACGCTGAAAAAATAGTGCCAAGAAAAGATTCTAGAAAAGAATTGATCCCCGAGGACCTTAGATATTCTCTATCACAAAATTCAGAAGGTCCAAATCACAGTTTTCTGCATTGAGGCTTATGGCTGTTGGTTCATGGGGAGAAGACTGTTCGTTTCCTGTTTTAGAAAATAACAGACCAATAAAGCACAAGACAAGCTGGGTGGGTGGGATATGTCACCGAGACATATATATTTTGACCCTAGAATGATCCAAAGAATTTTGGATTGCCCATGTGGATTGCACAACAACAACAATTTCCCAGTGAGACGTGGTTGTGGGGCTTGTGTGCTGTGAGGAAGATAGAAGCTATGCCAGAGGTTCAACCATACTGGACGGGTCTCCTCAGAAGAGTCAGACAAAGAGGCTCTTCTCTCCCATTAAAAATATGGTGAGATATAAATGTCAGAAAGTCATACTGTCTTGGGTGTCACCAGGGTTAACAAGGTCCACGCTAGATGTTGGAGATCCTGGACCAGAGGTGGTATTCTGCTGGTTCTGACCAGTTCTGGAGAACCGGTAGAGGAAATTTTGAGTAGTTGGAGAACCAGCCAATCCCACCTCTGACTGGCCCTGCACCCATCTCTTCTCTGCCTCCCATTGAGTCCCAGCTTGCACAGGAGAACGGAGCTGGAAAGCAGGCCAGTGGGTGGGGAGGGAAGGGGGATTTTGCAGTATCCTTCCCCTGCCACACCCACCAAGCCACACCATGACCACCAAGCCATGCCCACAGAACCGGTAGTAAAAAAATTTCAATCCCACCACTGTCCTGGATATCTGGTGAAAAATGGACTTCAGGACTCAGGACTGTTGGCTGAGCAACCAGGGCCAGCAGCTGCAGAACAACTGGAAGAAAAGGTGTTTATCTGTCACAAATATACAGTGATTGAAAACAAAGAAATAATGGTCTGTTGTAACAGATCAGGTCCAACAAGAAGAGGATATTTGAAACGAATGTGTCAGTTCTGGAAAGAACACCACCCAGGATCAGGAATAATAGAACAGAGGCTAGCAGATTAATGTCTGTCTATAATACGAAATAAAGTATTCATAGAAACAGCACTGGGAGAACTGCAAAGATCTACTCAGGGCAGAGAAATCAAAACCTTCAAATCAGGTCCATCAAGAGTCACTCTCATCTGTCCTAAAACCTCTGAAAAATCTGGCTTCTGCTATTTCTTGGCCAGTCTTGCCGTTTCAACTTATGTGTCTTGTTCAGTGGTAGTCGGGTTTCGGCCTCCCTTATCCTGGCCATGTCTCTGAGCACTGAACACCTTGTACTTCTGGGCAGTCCAGGTAGGTTGCAGTCCTGGAATATGACAGCACGGGAGGATAATGAGTTCCTGGTAGCTTCACGTTTAATTCTTCTCAAATCTTTGGCAGTTAATGTGGGTCTCTTTTTTCTCAACACGTTTCTTTCCATCCTGTTGACTATTTGCAACAAAACATTTGATGGTTCTGTGATCACATCCCAATATCTTAGCAATTTCAAGAGTGCTGCATCCCTCGGAAAGACCTTTTAAAATTTTTTGTCTTTTCAGTTAAATCTCTTTTTTTTGGCCCATTTTGCCTTGGGAAAAGGAAGCTGCCTAATAATTATGCACACCTTGACATGGGGTGTTGATCTCCTTGGGCCACACCCTCCCTCATTACACAAAAACACATTGCCTGATATGCTTATATCCACTATATTTGAATATAAGTTTATACTTGAAGTGGAAAATACGCATAAAAATGATGATATGATCAAAATACTCACTTGCCTAATAATTGTGCGCTCAGCGTATATTATAAATCACCTTGGAAAGATGTAGAAAGTAAGAATAAGACATAAGTAATTCCCGATTTTAGCTTTGTTGAGCGTTCTGGTAATGCTCTTCTCTTTCTCTGTGAACCTTCATTTCAGCACCTTCGCCAATCTCCAAATGCCACGAAGGTGAATGAAACAAGCGCTCGTGTTAGCAATTAGCAACAAAAGTGCTTGGTTCCCTCTCAGTCTGCAAATCTAACTGATGAGAAGCTTTAAGTGGAGCAAGTGCAGTTATGAATTAAATACTTAAGGCAATACAATATATTTTTAATAACTGTAAAGGCTTAAGAGATGCTTTTAGAAAAAAATAGGGAAATACCAGTGAGATTAAAATGTAATCTTAAAATATAATCCGTTTGAAGTGTGGCCCACACTATGTGGCATCAAATTACACGAACCTCTGATAATTCTGCTTGAGAAAATTCTGGGTTTTATTGAGGCATCCCAGCAGACCTTTGACTTAATGCCTCTCTCCTCCCATGGAGTCATACCAGCGGCCCAGGCTGTATGGAACTCGGAATCCAAATAGTTTATGGTGTGAACTTTTAGTTTATTTTCTTTCCAATTTCATCCCTAATTATGTCCTCTTTTTTTTTGCTGATCCCTGCAGTATAAGAGAGAAAAATAGCTTGTTCTATAATAACAACAGAAAACCTTCAGTAAGAAAATGTGTTGTATATGACTTGTCGCTCCCTCGCCTGTCCTTCCCTCGCTACCAGATTTAAAATGCCACAAGCAGCAAATCGTTGTTGGAGAAGGCCTTCTGTCGGTCTTGAGGTGCCAGCAGCCTGAGCCCAGGCTAACAACCCAGCTGCTCCCTGACCTGAAGAAAGAGCTTTGCCTCCAGCTGATTTAACCTTTCTGACTTTTCTTCCTAGGGTTCCGCAACCTGCATGTAGATGACCAGATGGCCATCATTCAGTACTCCTGGATGGGCTTGATGATTTTTGCCATGGGATGGAGGTCCTTCACCAATGTGAATTCCCGGATGCTTTATTTTGCTCCAGACTTGGTCTTCAATGAGTAGGTTGTCTCTGTTTCATGTTAGACTTGATTGAGAAAGTGGAAAGGGGGTTAGCCTGTGGTTGGCTTTAAGCGAAAGCCAGAGGAAGCCCGCTCCTTTCCTCAGGAACGGCAGGGCAAGTGAGCCACAGGGCCACTTTCAGTGAAAAGGAAGGTTTCTCATACAAGGTCAAACTTTTTGAGCTCAAATTGTGTCTGCTTGACTTGTTTCAATTCTTGAATGCAATGTCATTGGGATTACATTTACACAAGAGTCAAGAGGCAAATGTGCAGCCACACAAGGTAACGTTTGCTTTGTTTCACATACTCACTTCTTGTGATGACCCAGGGTGGAATACAAAATAAACACAGTCACAAAAAACAGGTGAAGCCCCTTTTATTCCTTCACTTTGCTTCCAAGCTCCAAATATCCTTGACTGGAGACAAAAAACTCCCACACAAGCAGTTATAAGAAGGAGAAAATGCCATTTAAATTATAAAGAGTCAAAAAACAACACAAACCAGGCAAGATAAGGGCTGGAAGACGCCCACAGATATCAGAACACACACTGGGAAGGACACCAAACTCAGAGAGGAACAATAAACTAGAGATATTTCCATGCTATGTTTCCAGCACCGGCCCCTACGCATGCCTGTCCTCTTATCCAGTTGTCACAGCTGCAGCCCAGGAAGAGGATCAAGGCCCTGTCCTCCTCTGTAGACCACGTCTCTCCCTTATCCTCTCCTCCCTGCGTGCCTTAGGATGGAGAGGGGATGGGCCTGGGTCCTCCTCTGACTTCCCAGCCGGCCTCCACCCTTCCCCAGCCTCCTCCACAACCTCTGGAGCCCCACTTCCACTCCCTGTCGGCTGTTCCTCCTCTCCCTCAGAGTCAGTCTCCACCAGGGGCATGACACTTCTTCTGAGAGGCAGACGTAGAGATCAAAATTTCTGGAAAGTAGATGTGTAAAAAAGTAGAACTCTAAGTCTAAACATGAGCTTAGTTAGGAGTGTTTAGTACAAGTTTCTTCCGTAGAAATGTTTCAGTGTAAATAGTGAATATCTATTTTCCAGGCATATGCTATATTTTCTCAAGTGGTCAAGGACTGGTCCTTTCCTTGTGTTTTGCGTCCTTTGAAATATTCCATCTTTTGTTGATCTCTGGCATAAAATGCTGAGGCCTCACCACTTTGGAGGATCAAAGTTCTGTAAAGTAGTACGCCCCCTCCCCCCCACATGCAGCTGTCTTGACCCAAGCATAGCCACTGTTTTCTGCACTTCTGGCTTCTCTATCCCAGGTCTTGGGCAGACAGGGGACTTCCCATGTGTTCTTCTGTGCACTATTTGACTACCAGAGTTTCTGTATGCAGTTCGTGTATTCAGTTACTTCAATCCCTGGGCATCTGTTGGAGAAGGATTCAGGCTGACCTTTGTAGCCAGATACTACAGAAATGAAGTTCCAAGTTCTACTTGTGTACTTGGCATGCTTGTTTTCAGATGCCCCTGCCTACAGCTGCATGTGCCACATATGGCAAGAGAACAGGCCCCACGGCCTTGTGGGAAATAGGGCCTATTTCAATAGGGCCTTTTATCTGAACAAAACGGGACAATTGAGAACAGCTTAGATCAGAATCTATGGAGTAAATTGTAGGGCTGACAGAGAAATTAAGATTTGCATTTTCTTTTACTTATGTATTTTGCCATATTTACTAGTTAGTGGTTTTATTACTATTCTCTATATTATATTTTGTATTCTGATACGGCCTAATGGTCAAATAATAAAGTATTATTAATAAGGCAACTTATATGGCAAGATCCATTTCCAAGGCTTGTTAGCTGGCCATTACAATATGGCATATTTGGAAGTTTACAGGTTATAAGATAACTCTGGATCATTTTTTTAAAATACTTATAAAAGCTCCCTTCATGATATTTTTTCACCCTAAGAATAATTATGGAAATAGGAAGGGGAGGGAGAGAAATAGGTAAGTAATAAATATTTTGGAAGAACTGCTTTCAAATTTTGTTAGTCATTAAGGCAGCCACATGTTCTTTCAAGCTGCTAAGCAAGACTGGGAAAAAAGGTCCAGCAACTTTAATGAATGGACTCATTAAAACAGCCATACTTGTAATGTCAGCCATACCATTAAAACCATATATGCTTAGAGTTATTTAGAAACTTGGAAAAAACATGGCTGCTTTAATGAGCAACCGAGAGAAGCTTGTGATCATGGAAGTTCCAACGCATCCTTCTGACTCATTTTGAAGTGTCCATGATCTAACGAAAAGGATGTTAGGCACTGACTGGAAGTACATCTACATGGAGGAAGTACCCAGTGGGGTACCACAAGGTTCCATCTTAGACCCAGTATTCTTCGGTATCTTCATAAATGACTTAGATGAGGGAATAGAAGGGGAACTCATCAAATTTGCAGATGACACCAAGCTCACAGGAGTAGCCAACACCCCAGAAGACAAGTGCAGGATACAAATAGGTTTTGACAGACTTGAACAATGGGGCCCTACCCAACAACATAAAACGTACTGTAGAGAAAAACAACCTATGCAGGAAAAAGAAAAGATACGAGTACAGATTAGGTCCACCTGGGTGTGTGCAAGTAGATTGAGCGCTCTTCGGGCTTCCTGGGCTATCTTGTAGTTGGCAGATTCCACATCTCCTCACCTGTCTTTTCATTCCTCTGGAGACAGGCACACATTTTATTGATTGATTGATTTGATTTGATTTGGTTTGTCAGTCGCTTACAAGATACAGGTATAAGAATAAACATAGTTTTGAATATATGGATACATGTAAGAAAAATAAAGAAACAATAGGACAGTAGGTACGTTGGTGCGCTTATGCATGCCCCTTACAAGACCTCTTAGGAAAGGGGTGAGGTCAATAGTAGACAGTCTAAGGTTAAAGTTTTTGGGGTTTGGGGAAGAAACCACAGAGTCAGATAGAGTATTCCAGACATTGACCGCTCTGTTGCTGAAGTCATGTTTCCTGCAATCAAGTTTATAACGCAGACACTCAACTTTACTCAGCAAAAAGTTGATGGAAGAGATGGAACGTGGCTCAATGCATAGTTAGACCAGCAGGAATACATGGCAGCCTGAAGACAAGACGGTCCTTAGTGCTGGGAGGGGGCCTGCTGCTTTGGGACGGATTTCCCAGTGGGGCCTGTTAGCTGAGGGGCATCAGTGTTTCCTTGCTATAAGCTTTCTCATAGGAAATCACAGGAGTCTCAGGGAAGGGCTGGTGGGATTTTGCAGAGGGACGAAAGGGGGCTGGACTTGGGGCTATGAGGACCTTTGTGGAGGGAGGGGTCAACTTTTGCACCATTATGTGACCAACAATAAGCAAGAGAGACTAAGTTTCCGTCAAGACTGAAATGGTAGCATTCATAGACATCTCAAGCAGTGTACAAAAGTGAAATGTGTGGATTTAGTTCTTGTAAGAAAGGTAAACTCTCTCCTATTCATGTCTTAACTTCTCCTAGGTACCGAATGCACAAATCCAGAATGTACAGCCAGTGTGTCAGGATGCGACATCTCTCTCAAGAGTTTGGATGGCTTCAGATTACGCCTCAAGAATTTCTCTGTATGAAGGCTCTGCTCCTCTTCAGTATCAGTAAGCAGCGGCATTTTTCATCCCCCTGTTTTTGTACTTAGAATAAAACGTAAAATAAGAGGGTTGGAAGGGACCTTTGGAAGTCTTATAGATCAACCTCCTCCTGTACCATTCTGGACAAATGGCTGCCCAGTTTCTGCTTGGAAACCTCCAGTGAAGGAGCACTCACAGCCTCCAGAGGCAGGACGTTCCACAGGTTAATTGTTCTCACTGGCAGGAAATGGGGCCGGACTAGATAACCTCCAAGTACCCTCCCATCTCTGTTATTCTGTGTTCTCTGTGGCAGCTGCCCTATTGGTTGCACTTTTGTACGGAAGGAGGGAGGGGGCACCGCCCCCTCAGTATTCCTGGGTCTCTTTCCTGCGTCTGTGCCTTTTACTTCCTCTCCTTCTCCTGTATCAGTCCCAGTGGATGGCCTGAAGAATCAGAAGTTCTTTGATGAGCTCCGGATGAACTACATCAAGGAGCTGGACCGCATCATTGCTTGCAAAAGGAAGAACCCCACGTCTTGCTCACGTCGCTTCTATCAGCTCACAAAGCTCCTGGACTCCGTGCAGCCGGTAAGTGTGAAAGTGGGGGAGTTGGCCAAGGGGCTTGGGGTGCAGGGCAAGGCCTACTCAGACCCAAAAGGGCTTCGACAGAGGAAACGCAAAGCCCAGGAAGTCATAGAATCTCACAGAGTCACTTTTGGACACTGCACAACCTCAAGCCCCAGAGCTGCAAGCAGTAGTCCCAAAATCCTTGGGCCGAGCCCCAGAGAGATCCAAAAGTGGACATACACATGTCTGTGCATCTTTAAACATGGTAGACAAAGTTGTTGCCGTATTAGTATTCACCAAGTTACCTGTAAAAGGAAGTTTCTGTTCTGTCATTCTAGACTGGGGCTCCTGGCCCACCACTCAACAGCCACGTGCAGCTTGGAGGGGAAAGAGTCCCCCCCCCTTAATTCCTGCTGGGTGTTTCCTCTTTGGGTCAGAGCCAAGCTCCCCCAGTCCTCTTCTGGGGGCCCTGCCAGGACGTCTTCTTGGGGAAGCTCCGTCCATTAAGTTTCCGTGGATTGGAACAGGTTCCCTGTTGGATCCCCAGCTACCGTTACGTTTAGAAGGGGGCAGCTGGCGCATTTCCCGCTGCCGGCCCCACGCGATGCTTCCATGCAGCGGAGGGGAGAGAGTGAGAAAAGACCAATGGGCGGCACATCAAAGACTTGTCTGTCTAAAGGAGGGAAAAAAGGAAGGCGTGGCGGAAGGGAAGCCCGGAACTGTGGTTTGAAAAGCCAAACCTGATTCCACTTAGGGATCTGTGGCTAACTGGATCTGGATTCGAGTCTGGGCTGGCTATGTACGCCACACCTGTCAGCACCTCCTTCAAGGAGCTCCCGGCCAATCAGCCGGTCTGCACACGAGATCCCTAGCGCTCATTGGGTGACGCTACTCCCTTCTGAGGAGCGTCCTCTTACAAGAGGAGCATCCAGCCTTACCACCAGTGTTAAACATCTGGAATTATTCCACGCTACTATTTCAGGAAGAGGCATGCGGGGGTGGGGTGGGGAGGGAGGCGGGGAGCCATTTTAGGCAGGGTTTAGGGAAGAAAAGGAGATTCCGTCTGAATTTGAGACGGGCAGCGGGAGGAATGCTGAGTTAAGCAGCTGCAAGGAGAGGGACCAGATGGGGTGTCCGGCAGCCCCTCCTCTTCCATGGACATCACCACGTTGGGGCACATTCTGGGGCAGCCCTTGGCCACGGAGCAAAAGGGCCTGGCCCTTCGGTTTGAAGACGAGCTCTTGCCTGGACAGTGGGCTCAAAGGAGGAGGAGGAGGAGGAGGGGGCTGGGGGTCACCGCTTGCCATGGGGAACTCTAGAAGCTCCAGCAAAACAAAACAGAAAGTCACACCTGGCGGAACGTTCTGCGCATTTTCTCGTTGCGGGAGAATAAAGTGCCCTTACAACACAGGTCCAGCCAGAGCAATGGGATATGAGGGACCCCTGGGAATTCTTCCCCCTTCCCTTTGAAGCAGCCCCAAACTTTCCTCCTTTGGAACCGCCGGGGGCTCCTCCCGTCCTCCAGGGTGTGGAAGCCCCCCCCACCCACCCCCAGGCAAAACAGGGGCCTCCCTGTGACAACCTCCCTTTCCCTCCGCAGATTGCCAGAGAGCTGCATCAGTTCACCTTTGACCTCTTGGTGAAGTCCCACATGGTGAGTGTCGACTACCCTGAAATGATGGCGGAGATCATCTCGGTGCAGGTCCCCAAGATCCTTTCTGGGAAGGTGAAGCCCATCTACTTCCACTCCCAGTGAGGGCGAGTGGTGGACGGCCTCCTTTCCTCGGGCCGCTGGACTCCTGCCCTGCAGTGCCTTGGCCCAAGAGGCACAGTGTGTCCCCCCAAGAGGCACAGTGGCCACAAAGAACTCCTTGCTGGGCCCCTTTCAGGTTCATCTTTCCTGCTTTGCCCTGAACTTGCCTTCATGTCAAGAGATTTGCCGGCTTCCGTGGCCCATTGTGTGCGTGGACTTCCTCTTCCAGTTTTGTGGCGTGGCGCCTGGCGGCCCTGTTTACATTCTTGTGCTTGTGCATTCCCCACTGTGGCTTTGGTGGCCCCCTGCAACCCAGGGAAGGGCCTGGCCCAGAACCACCCACGGCTACTTTCCTGGTGCTGTTTATTTTCTGCCCAGTGGCAAGCAGGTCATAAGGGAAGACTTTCCGGGTGGGAGTGGGGTGTGTGTGTGTGTTGGGTTGGTTTTTCAGCAGTCTTTGCAGCCCCCTTTTTCATCTCTCCAAGAAAAGGTCTGAAGCATCCCTGGAAATGGCGAGAGACGCAAACCCCAAAGCAGACCAAGAGAATGTAGTGGCTATCCATGCGCCTGCTAGACTTTGCTTTCAGACAGGGCTTTATTTGCACATACAATCAAGACACCCATCCTTCGTCCAACTACGTACGTAGAATAACAAGGTTGGAAGGGACCTTGGAGGTCTTCTAATCCAGCCCCAGCCCCGCTCAAGCAGGAGGCCACAGACAGCCCGTCCTGTTCCCAGCGCTCGGACCTTCAGCTTCACTTTCTCACTTGAACAGACACCCGAGGAGAGCCGGGTGTCGCCTGTTGCAGTGGCTGGCGTGGAAGATGCTCACAGAGAGCCCGATTCCTGCAGTGGTTCCGAGGGCCACAGGAATGGGCGGAAGGCAAGAGGAGGGCTGGAAGTTTTCCCAAGGCCCAGAAATCATGGGGGCTTTTTGCAGCTGGCACTACTTCATCTTTTCTTCTTCTGTGGACCATGAGCCAGAAGTGAAAACATTTGCCCAGTGAATGTGAAGACATTCCAGTTGTGAGCTTTTTTTTCTCTTTTCATGCTCTCTCTCTCTCTCTCTCCGTTGTATTTCTTTTCCCCTTCCCAACCGTCCCCCAGTCAGCCTCACCCTAGCTCTGCCTCTCGTTGCACAGTCATTCATTTCCCTTCCTAGAGACTTCCTTGGATCACTGGCTTTTTGCTAGGGGGCAGGGAGCCGCCTCAGCAATCCCACAAATCGGCGATCCTTCCTGGGAACATCCCTGCACACTGTGCTCGCCCGGCCCAGGACCATTCCTTTCCTGCCGCTCTGCAAGAAAACAGTGGCGGAGCCCCTTTTCCTTTCTGTAATCCCTGCTGAAAAGAGTAGGAGAAAAACCCCCTTATCAAAGGAGACGAGGAGACCACCACCACCACCACCCAAAAAAAAATATACCTCTTTTTTATTTTCCTATTAGGTACCACTTTTTAGCACAAGGTGACGTCTACTGAGAAAAAAGATGAAAATAGAATCCAACGTTTGGAGAACCGCCTGGGCCGCCTGAGGCTCAATTCTCAAATCTGCTTTGATTTCAAGATGTCTTGCTCTGAGTTTAAAACTTGCCCACCTTGAGTCATTTTGATCCGATGCTTAAGATCATTAATTACCTGGCCGTTTTTGTGTCTTTACATGGACCCCAGGCTTCAGCTAAAGGAAAAAACAAAGTTATATTTCTAGCAACGCAGAGTAAAAATGACCAACATTCAGTTTCATCTCTACAGAAACAAGAACAATAAAACAGCAATACATTGAATTAGCTTTTGCTTTTGAGTGATGCTGTCCATTGCATTGCCAAAATAAATCTATTTTGGCCGCTTTTTAATTTTTGGATTGTTAATAACAATAATTGGAAGCAACCATTGAAATACGTTCCTGTTTTCTATACTGAGGCTCCCTCTCCTCTCATTTCGTAGAGCAACTGACAATGCTATGGATGTTTGGGCTTTCCTGATCCTTCTTCATGCTATCTCAAGAGATTTAAAACACACACACACACACACACACACACACACACACACACACACACTGAAGCTCTTTTTTAAGACAAGAGTCTACATTTTGGGTGCTTGGTTTGAAAACCTCCGAAATGCATCAAACTGGATGAATTGCACTCTTAACCATCCTTCCCTATAGACTCAATATCATTTCATTATTCATTTTAGAAATATTGCCTCAAATGCACCTATAAGCAAGTGAAGATAAGGCCATCAAAAGTTGGGCAGAAACCTTGAAAGCCCTTCTGTAGTTGACGAGCCCGAATGGCTCAGATCAGTGTGTTGATTCAACTTCCCTCGGCTGCATTGTATATGTGACGTGCCTTCCACAGAGCTGGCTGTGGGGAGCCATGGCATTCCAGGGTGCATGCATGCTGCACTTGGTTTCAGGGTGCTTTCCTCCCATACTCAAATCATCTGAAAATCTTGAAATCCAAGGGCAACGTGTGTCCTTCATGCTAAGCTGTCGCAGAAGGGCAGAGTTCCTGACATCTTCAAGATCCACGCACAAGCAAAGTGCCACCTCCATTAGACCTCTGCAACCTAGCATGGCTGCTTCATGTTTTGGATACCACAGTGAACTTGCTAGTTCTTCAAGTACCCCAGGATGACTCATTTAGGGTTGCTGTAGCCTGTCACCCAGCAGCTTCATTTCTCATCTGTCTCTCCAGCAATCTTCCAATCAGGTCCAGAAGCTTCATCTTCTGGCCATTTCTGGAAGATCCTTTCAAATCCTTTTTAATGAATTGTCATGTAAATATTGGAGAATGGATTACTGGTGGCCGGGAGTTAAGTATTTGCTTTCTTCAGTTTATTTACGGTGGACTACAAGGGAAAAGTGGTGGGGGGGGGGGGGCTTATGAATTATGAAAAGCATTTACAAAATCATAGTCATCAGTCCATATTTTTAGAACTGTGCATTTTATGCATCAAAATTATTATGCATTTTAAAAAGTGTACTTAGCCTTGAGTTCTGCCATATGAAAATGGCCTTTTGTGATACGAAAAGTTATTTGCCAGAACCCAACCGCTCTGAAAATGCGCAGGGTTGGACAAGGGCTGACAGACTGGGTGGGGGGGAGGGGGGTTGAATGCTGCTGCTGCCTATTCTCCCCCCACCCAGCCCCCAGGGCATGCTGGGTCTTGTTCCTTTGGCAGTTGAGGAGGAGGAGGAAGGCCGTGAATGGAAGGAAAGGGGCATTCCCATTGCACGAGGAAGGGACCTGCGCATTTGACCCTGGACGACATCACAATTCTGATGACAGATTTGGGATTTATTCTATTTTAGTTTGGATGTGGGAGGTATGTGCTTAAGAATCTTAGATTTTTCTATAGTTAAAGATGCCGATATCTATGTTTTCCCCTTTCTTTGGGAAAACTTTTCTCCAACTCTGTCCCTTAATTGTACTGGAACTCTGAGTTCTCTTTTGTCCAAAGCACTTTGTAAAGGCTTAAGCTGCTTCTGTGTTCACTTGTTGCAATTTTGACCGAAAGAATGTGTAGTGTTAGTACCAAAGAATGTTATTTAAAGTGGGGAGAAACAGATGTCTGACCCTCTTGCTCCTTCTCTGTCCCCAGGACGAAGTGCCTGTGGGACTAACCGAGACCAGGAAGCATGGAGATCTGAGGGGACGCATGTCCTTCCTGGCCTGCTGAGCAGAGCAGCCAGCCGGAGGGGAGAGGGTCTTTTGGGTGGGGAAGAGCCCCTGGGGAGCATTATTTGCACTGGGGGGGAGCCGGGCCCTAATGCTGCTCCCACTTGATCGCACTAAAGGTTCTCGGGTTCACAGCTCCTCCGAGAGTGGAGGAAAACGGTTTGGCCAGAGAGCACAGCCTCAATGTGAGTGGAAGGCTGAAGGTGGTTCCTCTGCTTCCCTTCCCTGTACCTGTGAGGATGCTGCAAGCCACGGGGTGGGGGGTGGGGGGGGCAGGCTGCGGCCAGCGGGGGGGCTTGGTGGGCTTTGTCTCCCTTTTTGGAGAGGAGCCGCTCTTGGAGCGTTGACCTCAGAAGGGCGCCAGGGAGGACACTCAAAGGTCGGGACAGAGTCAAGGGCCCCGCTGCATCCGTTCTCGGCAGAAGAGTCCAGTCCACGCATTGAATGCGTAGAAAGCAAAGGGGTCAAGGCACCCGACTCTTGTCCTTGTTTGGAGAGCCTGGTAGGGTGGGGTGCGGGGGTAGACGTCTCCTTTTTTTAGCATAGCTGGAGCCAGAAATAATTCTGTAAAAATTGTGGCACTTTTTTTGAAAAGTTACATTTGTTAATCTGCTTGTGTATTTTTTTAATTAAATCTTTGCATACATAGATTATTGTTAGATGAAATCACCCCAATGGCTGTGTGCTAGAGGTGTGTGTGTGGAGGGAGTGAGATGGACTTGTACAGGTTTCTATGGTCTTAATACAGTCAAATAAGCTTGTGACGCTGTAAAATATCAATACTAGCCAAAGAGCTGGAATGTTGCCCGCAGAACAGTTGCTCATGTGGCTCTCCAGGGCCCAGAACTGCCTGTCAGAAGCATCGAATGGCAGTAGATAAAGGACGATTTAATTAGGCTAAGAGTTCATTGAAAGATTATGAAGTGGGTGGATGGATTCTTTGCTATGGTCAGTGGTCATAAAATCTTTACATACATAGAAATGATTGATTGATTGATTGATACTGATTGGTGAACAGATCAATTTCAGTGCATTTTGCATATTACATGACAAAATGTGGCCATACTTAAAGAGAATAATGGCCTTATTATGTCCAGGAAGTGGTCTTTAATTAATGGTGCCAAAGCAGATAGAACCAGCCATTTATTTACCGACACCAGTAGAAGAAAATGCAACTGACTTTATTAGTGTCAGAATTAGACACACAAGTGTAATTCAGTGTTGGACATTTGGATGGAGATGCTGGGTGCAACCCCAGAAGCAGCTGCAGCAAAGGTCTTGGGGTGAGTGGCATGAGACCAGGGCAAGCCACCTTTTCTGGTGAGTTGTAGCCATCCATCCTAGTTGCAAAGGCTAAAACCTGAGAGTTCACGTACGCCCAGCCCCAACCCAGAGAAGTGAACGGGGGACTGTTCAAGAGAGTAGGTTACAAGACAAAAGAAGCCGCCTGGTTCTGACTTCATTAGTACGTTGTATGATTAATAGAAGGTGACCGTTGTCGTTGGACAGAGGGCAAATTTCATGCTGTCAACCAGTTCTGATCTTTGTAACCTTGGATTTTATTGTTCCTCCAAATACAGTTTTAAAAAGCAAACCTTGATTGTCTGAATCCGTGTGTACGTTTCCTGTCTTGGCTGCTTTTTTTCCTGCAACTCTACCTATGAAGACTCTACCTACTTTTTGATGCAGTTTGTGGGTTCTTCATCTAGACCAGTGATCCCCAGTCTTTTTGGATCCGTGGACCCTAGGAGAGGGGGGAGGGGATGGTTTGATGCACACAACCTAACTCCTGCCCGTGTGCAAATGCAGCTTCATGCGCACTCACCCGCCACTTCCACAGCCCAGTCCCCAGGAGGCCGTGGACATCTGATCCAGGCAGAATGACTGAGAGAGAAACTTAGGCAGAGGAAGCATTTTAAAAGCGTTTTCAAGCTATTTATGCAGACTCGATGCTGCCATAAGAAATCAGTCTTACTGAAGAGAAAATAAATAATTAGCTTACATCGATTATTTAAGAATATATTTTACAGGATCTGGGTGAGAAGTAGAATCTTTTCCTATCCCTTCCAGCTGGACCCTAAATATGTTTAGTTTTTCTGCATGGTTCTTTTCTTTTTCGAGGTGACATTTATATTCTGAATAATAACTTACATCTTCCTAAGGACAACAGTGGCCAGCAACTTCCCTGCAAGTACTTCTCAGGTAACTGCGCTGAAATGACTCATTTGCAACAAGTTTAAAGAAGAGAAAATGGCAAAGCCCAGGCTGGTCTCCCCTGAAAGGGACATTGGCTACTCAGACAAGCTGCCTGGATTGTCTGATCCCAGGTGCCCATCAGAGGAGTCATTCAGGAGCATCTCTGCAAAGTGTCAGCAGCCAAGCTGAGCACCTGGAAGCACCTTTGCTTGGGGAGGGAAGGACATCCAACTTCTCAAGGGATGAGAGGAGAGCATTCCTGGAGCCCTGCTCACATGGAGGGGATGCAGTGCCCAAAAAGCCTCTGAACCCACCCACTGCCAGGTCTCCAGTTTAGTATGTTAATGATAAACATTCTCTGGTGTTCCTGCTGTAGGCTGAAGAGACGAGTGATATCTTGGGCAGTGTTGTCCAGTTTCCAATCTTCCCTTTCTGAAGAAAGTCATCGGATGGCAGTTTCAGAAGACCTTGGAGGAAGCAGATTCTTTGGCGTGGTTTCAGTCTGGGGTAGAGTACCCAGGCAGTGTTGCTCAGCTTCTCAATAGCCTTTGATAAGGCCAGGAGAGCAGTGGTGCATCGGTCTGGGGCTCCTGGACTGCTCAGTGGGTTTTGATGCATTGGCCACTCGGTGGTTTTCAACGCCACTGACCAGCTACCGAGGTTCGGGGTGGTAGGCACTAGGCTTCAGTGGTTTGTCTCCTTCCTCGGTGAGGTCATCTGTCAGCTTGGGATTTGGTATAATCCGAATCCTGGGCCGCCAGATGATGCCAGGGTCTGGAGGCTGTTTGGGTCTGGATGGGGAGGAACCAACTTCAGCGCAGTTCTGCCCTTGGCTCAGGGATGTTTTCACCTTGGTCGTCTTGGATGGAATTGCACTTCTCATTCAATATTGGCCTGCAACTTGGGTGGGTCCTCCTGGACTCTCAGCTACTGCTCAAAAAAGGAAGCAGCAGTTGTGGCCAGGTTCCTTTGTGTGGCAGTTGCATCTTGTCTTCAAGCCTGTCAGAGTCATTATTGCTCTGGACTTTCGCAAAGCACTGCCCATGAGCTGCTCTGGAAGATCATCATCTAGAATCTACAGCTAGAGCTGCTTCAAAACACGTCAGCAGTTATGGGCCCTTCCCCTTCTTCCCACGTGTCACTGCTGCTATGCTAATTGCAATGATTGCCAGCTGGCTTCCGAGGGCAATTCAAGGTGTTGATTATTGATAAAGCCATTCATGGCAGAGGGTCTGGTTATCCAGGGACCACCTATTTCCTTTTTATATTTTTTTAAAGACAGATAGAATTCTTTATTGGCCAAGTGTGATTGGACACACAAAGAATTTGTCTTGGTGCAGTGTCCATAAAAGAAAAGATACTTTCGCCAAGAGTCAAGAATCATCAGGTACGACACTTAATGATAGTCATGGGGTCCAATAAGCAATCGAATCATACTAGGAAACAGTCAGTGGGTGTCCCTTCAATGAAACATCTTCTGGGTCTAAGGAAGCAAGGCAGTCGCAGCACCTGCCCTCCAGAATAGCATCCCAGAGGAAGCTGCACTTTGCTCTTATCACTTAAGACACAGACATTTGATGTCAACAAAACCATTTGCCGTGTTTAGCTGCCAATCAAATACGCAGTCACTCAGATTTGAGCTTCACTTAAAGGAGACTTTGCAATCCTCTCTAAGGCTGGAGAAAGGGCACCAGTGGCTCGGTCAAGGGCAGACACACACTCTTCCCCTGTGGCTGTAGCAAGGCTGCGATTAGTAGATTCCCCCCCCCCCAGCTTTGCTAATAAGGGAGTCCATCCAAGACAAAGGATGACACCAACACTGCCTATCATGAGCAATGATCAGAACACCCATCAGCTGCGATTCAAGGACGATGATAGAGACAGGAAGAAAAAAACCTCACTTTTCATTGTCTCATTGCAGTTGAAGGGTTGTCAGACAGCACTTTGACCTCAGTTGAGACTTTCAAACATTGTTCTGTCCACATAACAAACTGAAATCCGCCACCCGTGACCATCAATTTGCTCTTCTGCCTGGAAGACGATTCCAACATGCAGGGAACCGGCAATAAATCTACTCTGCCATTTTCTGCCCTGAAGGGGCAGGGATGGGGGTGGCCTTGAGGGACGAGGGGAAGAAATGCTGCTTAGAAGACAATCACAGAAGAGAGGAGCCCCCCAGTGGCCTAAGGGTTTGAGGAAGAAACTTAGGAAGGAGCCGGCCTAATGGTCGTTTGCAGGAAGTTTGTACCTGCAAACTCACAAGATTCTGTTACTGTAGCCTACAAGGAAGTAGTCACTTTTTCCGAAGTCTGAACATCTTTTTTGCACTGTTTCTCTTCTTCTCTCTGATGCTGTCTATCCCACATTTTTATAACTTATTAATAAGTAGGTTGGGATCTGCCTTCTCAAATGCCTTACTGAGATTCAAGTATACTATGTCCATAGCGTTTTGCTAAGCTAGTAATTTAGTCACTATCAAAGAATGAAATAAGATTGATTTAGCCTATTCTGTTTTTGACAAACCTGTGTTAGCTTCTAATTGTAACTTTATTGTTAGCTTCTAATTGTAACTTTATTTGTTTCTATATGTTGAGATAACATCTGCCAGCTCCTTCAGAACTCTGGGGTGTCTTGGTGATTTATATTTGTCAAAAGCAGACAGGTGTTCTACCATTTCCTTGCTTATTTTATTTTTTATTTCTAGTCTGTCTTTTACAGTTGTCTTTTTGGTAGGTTGGGCTGTAGTTTCTTTTTGTGTGAAGACACAAGGAATGAGTTAAGCTTTCTCTACTGGCTTCCTTGCCATCTCTCTTTAGTGGACCAACTGTATCCTTGATTTTTTTTCTTATTATGTATATATTGAAAGAAACTTTTATTATTATTACCTTTGACTTTTGTTGCAAGCCTTTGCTTTCCTGACTTCATCTTTGCAGATTCGGGCTATCTGCTGATATTCTGTCTTAGTTATGTGTCCCTCGTTCCATTTTTTTGTACGTTTCCTTTTTGTCTTTCAGTTTATCAGGGAGATCTTTGTGCAACTGTGCTGTTTCTTCTTGGATTTCTTGTGTTTCTTTTTCAGTAGTATTGTTTTGGACTGAGCTTTTATGATCATATTGTTCAGAGTTTCCCACGCTTCTTGAGTTGTTTTCCCCTTTAGGATTTTTATCAAATGGAATTTTTCTTAAGATTTCTGAGTTTCTTAAAATAAACTCTTCTAAAATTTAAGATAGTGGTTGCATTATATTCTATTGCTTCTGTTTGCATTATATTGAATTTCAATATGATGTGGTCACTCTCGCCCAAGGTTATGGCAACTTCAACTCCCCTTATCACTTCTTCTCTATTAGCAAGAATTAGGTCCAATATAGCTTTCCCTGTAGTTCCTTCCTGTACTTTATGGATGACAAAGTTGTCAGCTAAGCTGGTTAAGAATCTGTTCGACTTGCTGCAGAGTTTGTCTCCCAGTTGGTATGAGGATAGTTAAAATATCCCATTACTATGTGGTATGTTTCCTACATACATTTGTTAATTGGTTAGCAAAGAGTTCATCAATTTCCTGTGCTTAATTGGGTGTCCTATAATATATGCCTATAGCAATGTCATTTCCCCGCCTTTTATATTGACCCATATGGATTCTAGGAGATTTTCATCCTTCATTTTGTGTATTTCTGTACTGATGTAGTGATCTTTTATATATAATGCAGTTCCACCTCCTCCTTTCCTTTTTGAATAATTTGTATCCTTCCATCAGTACATTTCAGTCATGAGTTTCATCCCACCAAGTTTCTGTAATGGCAACTATATCCTATCTTCCTTCGTGTATTAATGCTTCAAGTCCATCCTGTTTGTTCCCTAAACATTGAGGGTTAGTATATAGGCATTTGAGTCCTTGGGAGGAAGCTCAGGAGTTGACTCAAGTGTCATTCTTGACCCTCCCTTGTTGACTTGCTTCTTCAGAACCAATGCTCAATTCTTCTGATACTTCTTTCCAATAAGAAATCTTGTGAATTTGCACAGATATTTCTCTGTGAGAGGTTTTGTGTGAACAAGGCAGAATAGGTTTCTGCTGTAATCATGCACTCAGGGTCAAGTTCAAACCATGCTTTTGCTGTTGCAACTATGATCACTTCTCAGCTTGCCAACGAACTCTGTGTGTGTGTGTGTGTGTGTGTGTGAGAGAGAGAGAGAGAGAGAGAGAGAGAGAGAGAGAATTGGAACGTAGGCTCCAGACATCAAGAAGTCAAGGCATCAGTGCCAAGGAGGTTTTGGCAGGTGTTTGCCAAAGCCAAATATTTTTTTCTCATAGCAATACAACGACATTCAATTGGACAGTGTAACCTGCACTAATAGGGGGAGAGAGAATCCTATGCTTTAATTATGTGGGTTTGCACGGGAATCAGCTCTATCTGGTTTTGACCTCATCAGTGCCAGAATGATGTACTCAATACAGTTTTTGCCTTCAGAGATTGGATCATCTCGGCCGGGCTTGATTTGGTTGAGTTCATCAGCTGAAATGTTGACATTCAGCCTTCGAAATAATTTATCCAGAGCACTTCAAACATTGGATAGAATCCCCTGGTTTTGCATAGAGCAGTCCAGATAGTGGTTCACACATTATGGAGTCTGGTGGCCCTGATGGCCTGAAGGGT